CTGCTAAATTAGGGACGGCTAGCGCAGATAGCCCTCATGTAGCTTTGCGCGAAATCCAAAACAAACAAACTTATAGTGCACTCACGGCCTCAACATGATGTGAACCACAAGCCCACGGATTCACATTTCGGGCACGCCAACTACTGCAGTGGTGGGAAAATAAAGCAAAGAGTAATTAACTATCTTCCTTGCAAGCTGGACAGATGTAAGACGTTTCGTGGATTGTGATGTTTTGAAAAAGTAGTAATTTTTACATAGAAAATATTCTACTGTTACTGTCAGAACGACTTTTATACGCATCTAGATAAACATTCTCTTCTCTCTGAAATGAAGTTAAATATACAGTTTACCTTTGACTCCAGATGGTAATGAAACAACGACTTCGCCAGCCAAGGAACTGTTCTCCTTCACACGATACGTACAGTCTAGAATCATTCTCAACCATCAGCAGCTTCCAAAGACGACGGGGCGGAAGGAGTTCTCTGTGTTCTTTTGTTAACCAGGCTTTCCAAGACCCGGTAAGTGTTAACCAAGCTTTCCAAGACCCGGTAAGTGTTAACCAAACTTTCCAAGACCTGGTAAGTGCTAATCAAACTTTCCAAGACTCTGTAAGTGCTAATCAAACTTTCCAAGACCTGGTAAGTGTTAACCAAACTTTCCAAGGCCCGGCAAGAGTTAGTCAAGGTTTTTAAGACAAGGTAAGTGCCAACCAAACTTTCCAAGACCCAGTAAGTGCTAATCAAACTTTACAAAACTCGGAAAGTGTCAACTAAGCTTTCCAAGACTCTGTAAGTGCTAATCAAACTTTCCAAGACCTGGTAAGTGTTAACCAAACTTTCTAAGACCCGTAAGAGTTATTTAAGGTTTTTATGACAGGGTAAGTGTTAACCAAACTTTTCAAGACTCAGAAAGTGCTAATCAAACTTTCGAAGATCTGGTAAGAGTTAGTCAAGGTTTTTAAGACAGGCTAAGTGTCAAAACCAAACTTTCCAAGATTCGAAAAGTGCGAATTAAGCTTTCCAAGAACCAGTAAATGCTATCCAAGCTTTTCCAGAACCTGCAACTGCTAATCACAATATCGATAGCACGGAAAGTATCAGTTTTCAAGACCTAGTAAATGTTAACCAAACTTTCCAAGACCTAGTTAGTGTTAGTCAAAGTGTTCAAGACACTTATCAACTAAAAATTCCAAGATCACGAAAACATTATTTCTCCTCTTTCTCTATAACTTTTTATATTCTATGTTCAGTTCAACAAACACAAACCATATAACGATGGAAGCTGTATGAATACACTGTGCAAGTGTTTATCACAGTGAAGTTTCAGATGTTTATAAACCAGCATCATAATTACATAATGATGTAACATGTATACATAAATATGTTAGTTGTTTGGAAGTGCAAGTGTTTATCACAGTGAAGTTTCGGATGTTTTGTAAACCAGCATCATAATTACATAATGATGTAACATGTATACATAAGTATGTTAGTTGTTTGGCTTGGAAGTGCAAGTGTTTATCACAGTGAAGTTTCAGATGTTTTGTAAACCAGCATCATAATTACATAATGATGTAACATGTATACATAAATATGTTAGTTGTTTTGGTTGGAAGTGCAAGTGTTTATCACAGTGAAGTTTCAGATGTTTTGTAAACCAG